CTCGTTCAAGATTCTGACGTAGCCTTGAGGTGTCCAACTCGCCGTCTTTCCAAAATGTCTGGATGTCTCTCTTGCCATCCGTGGTTTGTCTAACCTTGAAGTCTAGACCGTCTTCTTCGTTGACTACGACAAGCCATATAAAGTCACCGTCCCAGTCGATATCGCCACGTTTCTCGAAAATGCGGAATCCCGGTGCTTCCTTGGAAACATAGATTTTTGCTGGTCGCAGGGGATCGTCGTCTGGAATGTCAAGATCCAGAAACATGGCTTTAGCAGAGGTCATTGCGTCGTCAAGGAATCCGTACGAGAAGATGCTTTCGCATGCACCTTTGTCGTCACCGTATCTGCGTACATCAGTACAGCATGGTTGCGTTTTCGTGTCGACCTACGTGATGGTCACCTCATTGCCTTGTTCAAGACATTTGCCGTCCCGGAGAAGCAGCAAGCCATTTCCGTCCTTATCGGTCTCATACAATGCAGCAGTTGCATCTCCTGATGCGTGATTAGCCATATCAACGCATGGCATCATGCAATCACCCGCGCCTGGAAACTCCAGTGCTCTAGACCTGTACATGGCATCAACACGCATCCAGTCATCAAAGTGGAGCATGCCATGATCTTCGCCCCACCAGTACTTGCTGCACCAGGGAATCGACTCTGTGGAAGTTCTCAGATGGTCAAACTCGCGCAAGAGGCTGTTCAGCTTCGCGCCGACTGCAGGCTTGAGTGTCGTTCCCACCAGAAGCTCCCGTTCCTCCTCGGTCCAGAATGTGGGAAGCAGTTCATCTGGAAGAAACTTGATATACTCGGTGAGGGGGTTCAAAACACCGATATCCTCGGTATCTGGACAGCATATAGTAGCTTGGAAGAGCAGAAACGTAAGCACGGCGCCTCTTGTCGTCTGCAAACGGTCAATGTCACCCTTGTTTGGTAGAGTTTGTGGGCTTATAACGCACCCTTCCGAAATCTCCGAGGGCTTCGAGGAGTTCGCGTAGGTGATGGTCTGATTTTGAGACAAGGGCTATGTTTTGACGCGAGATGATCAGTTCTTTGGGTACTACGAGTAGAGGCTCGACATTGCCTCCTTGAAGCTTCTGACGGGCGATGACAGTCGATCCTCGCTCTTCGTAGCCAGGTAAAGGTCCGACTTTGACGTTGTTGAATCTGACTCCGTGGAAGGTAGCCCATGTGGGCAGGGCTTCAATGGGCTGTTTCAGCCATCCCTCTGCTCTGCCTCTTCGGATCATGGCCCACAGACGAATCTACAGCCAAATTGGGAAATTTGTGTTTGGAGGCGATGTGGGCGGAACCTTGACCGCAGGGGTCAGGTGATGCTCGACTGGTTGTGGAGCGCCCGTGTTTCGGAGACGGCTAACGCTTATCGATATCATCAAAGGTACGTCGCGAGACACGACTGTACACACCACAAGTGCAAGTGCTGTGACGGAGGCAAGGCTACTGGAGTAGCACGTCGAAAACAATAGAAACTAGTGCAGATGCACGCGGGGGATAGGATCACAATGGCAGCGCGGGCTCTAGCGCAGGTGGTGCAAAGTGGCCGCGTTTACTGCATCAATGGAGATGCAGGCCACCAGCAGCACACTGGACCCTGTGAGGTCATGTGCAAAACGACAGCTGCACGGCTGCAGGGAGATGTCAGACATTGCTCGTTTCCTCAGAGACGAAATTCGTCCTAGACACTTATATATGGAGCTGGAAAGACAGCAAAGACATGCATGCGCAGGAGCATACCAACGGGCAGTGCGCCGGGCAAGCAGCAGGGAGGGCCTCCGCTCGTGCCTTGTTGTGATGAAGCTCGGGCCCGTAAGTCTAGAGTTGTTGTGATGCTGTTGGCGGGCATCCCGAAACCGTGGAGCGGAGCTAGTGGGCGCGTCCGTGCACCAGTAAACAACAACAACATGAAGATGTGCTTAAACTTCCTACCATCCGCCGGCCACACATCATTACAGTTATTCCTTACTCCGACCGCAGCAGGAACAGCAGACGGCATCCACGCCGACAGCCCCAGAACGCCCACACGTGTCCCCATTGCGCTGCGCTGCCGAGATCGCTGCTTTGATCCCTAGCCAGCCTCTCGTCCCAAGACCATCGCAGTAGCCGGTCGTCGCTTCCCCCACTGGAAGAGCAAGGCATCCCGAGGGTCGCAGCTTCCTTCCCATGTCTTCACCCCGCGAACGAGCAGCCAAGATGCCGCGCGCGTCAGCGACCAGCTACGGCCAGGTCATCGAGGTGAGCATCACAACAATAACAATGCGCCCGCGGGACCCGTTCTGATGCAGCCGCAATCTAGTACATCCAAGACCGGCTCTATCTGGCCTCGTACACGTACGCGCCTGATGCGTCGACGCCATTCCCGTACCCCAAGCAGAGCCAATCGCCATCGAAGCGCTCGTCGCGTGCCCAAGGCCCCACGGCGGCCCACAAGGCAGCGCATGCTCCCGTCTACTTCAGCATCGACAAGACGCTCCTGTACAACGCCTTCCACGGCGACTTTGGCCCGCTGCACATCGGCCACCTGTACCGATTCGCCGTCCAGCTGCACGAAGTACTGGGGGACCCCGCGAATGAAGACCGCGCTGTTGTCTTCTGGAGCAACGCCGACTCGAGGAGTAAGAACGCTCCCCCATTGCCGCCTGCGCGCAGCCATTAACATGCCTAGGTCGCGCCAATGCTGCTTGCATCCTCGCATGCTACATGGTGCTCATCCAGTCGTGGCCGCCTCACCTTGCACTCGCCCCCATTGCCCAGATGGACCCGCCGTGCATGCCCTTCCGCGACGCCGGCTACAGCCAGGCCGACTACGTCCTGAACATCCAGGATGTCATCTACGGTGTATGGAAGGCCAAGGAAGAGGGCCTTTGCGGCCTCAAGGATTTTAGCCTCGAGGAGTACGTTCTGCTCCATCGCACATGGCAGCCATCGCTAACCCCGTCAGGTACGAGAAGTACGAACGTGTCGACATGGGCGACTTCAACTGGATCACCCCCGACTTCCTTGCCTTTGCCTCGCCCCAGCAACAGCCCGTACATGAGATCCCCACATCCTCGCCCATGTACGCGACCCTCCCCTCCAACATCGCCGAGATTCAACGATCGGGACTTCCCAGCCCCTTCAAGAACGTCCTCTCGCACTTTTGCGCCCGCAACGTCGGACTTGTCGTTCGACTAAACTCGGAGCTGTACTCTTCCTCATACTTCACCAAGCTTGGCATCCAGCACCTGAACATGATCTTCGATGACGGCACCTGCCCGCCTTTGTCGCTTGTTCGCAAGTTTGTCAACCTTGCCCACGACATGATCACGGTGCAGAAGCGCGGCATTGCTGTTCACTGCAAGGCTGGTCTCGGACGAACTGGCTGCCTCATCGGAGCCTACCTGATCTACAAGCACGGCTTCACCGCCAACGAGATCATCGCCTACATGCGATTCATGCGCCCAGGAATGGTCGTCGGTCCCCAGCAGCATTGGCTGCACTTGAACCAGGGCACTTTCCGCGAATGGTGGTACGAGGACACCATGAAGGCAAAGTTCGCCCACATGATGCCTTCGACGCCCACAAAGTCACCGCACAAGCAGCGCCTCGCTAGCAACGGGCAGACGTTCACACCGCCAAATGGATCGCAAAAGCGCGCGGCGCTTGGCGAGATTGAGTCCAACGAGCGAAGCAATTCGGGCCACGTCGGAGTACTGGACGACAACCTCCCTGCGCCAACACCTGGCCAACCCAGAAAGACTAGCAAGCTTTACGGCCACGCGGCACGGCAATCACCTCAGCGCATTGACGAGAACGAGCCATTCACAAAGTCGCACACAGAGGTCAGAGCGGACATCACACGGTTCGATGGCGAGTCGGATGAGGAATTCCACCTCCGCCAGATTGCACGCCGGACATCATCCCGCTCACCAGCACGATCACCCACCCTCAAAGACAAGCAGCGCCGTGCTTTCAGCACAACCTCCGTCATCCAAACCTCCGTAACGCACACCTCTTTCGGCTTCGGCGAGGAAAGCGACCTCGAGAATACTGCACCAGCGGGCGTACGGCCGAAGACGCCCAAGGAGAAGAGCGGCAACGGCAGCATCAGCATGAGCAAGATCCGCTCAAGCCCCTCGCGCCGAAGCACCGACAGCAAGGGTGTGCGAAAGACCAGCGGTCGTGTTGGCAGCGTTGGCAACGCCATTTCACGACCAAAGTCATGAGCAACGTTTCTGGATTTCGACTTCTGATTCTCCCTCTTCATTTTACGGAGTTCTAGCATGGTGCCTTGGGACACAACGTTTACGATCATGGTCACTTCGGTTCTCGTCCAAGTCAATTCATTCTCGCCGATCAGCATGCCATGGGGCTCGGCGCTACACAGCTTATTCATGGAAAGGCGTTTTGGTTCACAAATTTCTGCGTATTGGTGTTGGGATATCACTGTCTGAGAATTACTGGGAGGCGCATGGAGTGTTAATATTCTTGTCATTTTTCTTCCCTGTTTCCTCGGTGGTCACGGTTTCCGCATTGCTTTACCTTAGTCTTGTCCTTTTTCGCGGTAATTTGGCTGCGGATATGTTCATGACGTGTATGAGTTAATGACGAGCGTAATTCAAACTGCTTAAAACAATACCTTGCGTCCACTGTCACTTCGTGACGAACCTGTAATTGCCAATAATCAATTACCGTATAATACTCTATAATCATAATGACAGCCGCACAGAATAAGAGTCTCCATCTACTCTTGTAGTTGAAGAATACATGCATCCATGCATGTTTAAAAAAAAGCGCCTGTATACATGCATGCGATACCATGTTCATTCAACGTCCAAACCAATGTCTCAGCGATAGTCTGTTGGCTTGTGTGTAACCAAAACAGTGATGTAGGTACCGGGATCGAGTCACGTGATGCTTCGGCTGGCAAAAAAAAAAAGATGCACAACTCAACGCCATCACACGCTTCTTAGACATGACGATGACATTCAGCTAATGTTTCTGTGACGATCAGCACGGGACTCGAACCCGCAACCTTGGCCTTGACATGTATAGGTAACATAGGAGGGCCACGCGCTACCATTGCGCCAACCGACCAATTGCCATGAAGCTTTTTTGCGTGGTATGTCTAATATATACTTGGCAGCCTGTGGGATAGAAGATGCACCCGTGGAGATGAAGTTCCTGTAACTACTGCAGGAGGGTCATGGATTTCTTTGTTTTCTTTCTTAGGCTGTGTGGAGTTTGGAGAAGGAAAAGTCTTTGATATGTGGGGATTTGGCCGAGATGGGGGTTCACTACATAAGAGATTTGCCGAATGACAAGAGTTTGCTTGGCTATTTTACATTAGGCAAACATGAATTCAGAGGTCTAGTGGTGAGGTTAGGCACGTCTTCCGTTTCTATCAATTAGACATGTGTCTATCCAAGTATGACAAAACGTGTTGTCCTGGAAAGTTGTGTGACGTAGAAAATGCACGTCATCTGCCACGCTATCATGATTCGACTGTAAGTTGTCAAGGAGCCCGAATCAATCAACCAGCCATCGCTATGGACCCTACAAAAAAGTGGCATATGTAGTTGGCTTGTAGTTGAATTTAGGCGAACTGTACGTTCAGAACCAAACGATGACGCGATCGCAAGTTTTGTAGTCTAAACCTCTTCCAGCCCGACCATACCTACCAACACACAAAGCAACAGTCATGCGCACCCTCACCAAACCATTACTCGCGTGTGGCGCTTCGCACAATCTCGTGTGTCCGATCCAAGATTCGCTGTAACATCCAGGTTTAAATCGCGTAACTACCAAGTGTGTGGGTTCTGCTGGCCCGGCAAGCATCGGCGATCGCACTTGGGAGAAATTCAAGTGTGTGTATGACGGGAAAAACGTCTAGAACATCTCAACAATCGCAATACAACTAGAGAAAAACGACATCATGGTATGCTATATGACTTGCCAAGTCCTTAGCTGGGAGTGTGGTTTGGGGAGGCTCGCTGACATGTGTGAGGATAGGTGCACGCCGATTCATCGAGTTTCGCCGAGGGCATGAGCAAAAAGGAAGTGTATGCACAAGTGCTGGAGCAAGCGAGATCGCTATTTGATGGACAGAGGAATTGGGTAAGAATCTCTTTTTCTAGTTTCAAAATGTTACAGTCGCGACTTCTTTCTTGATACATTATACTAACGTACCCGTAGGTCTGGTAAGTCGCATCTTCCACACCCCTTCATCAGCAGTGCAAGATCGCATGTCGAAATTCACGTCAAGAAATCAATCTAATATGTATATTCCAACAGCAACTTCGCAAATGCAGCTTCCCTCCTCTGGCACGCTTATCATTCGCTGCCCTCCCCATCATCGGCCGTCAACTGGGCTGGCTTCTACTTCACAGACCCATCAAAGTCATCACGACTGCTTCTCGGACCCTTCCAAGGACAAGTAGCATGTCAGATGATCGCGTTTGGTCGGGGTGTATGCGGGACAGCAGCCAAAGAAGCGAAGACGCAACTAGTGGAAGATGTAGAAAAGTTTCCAGGTCATATTGCTTGTGATGGGGCGAGCCGGAGCGAGATTGTTGTGCCCATTGTGCAAAACGGAAAGGTGTGCTTTTTTCTTCTCCCTTCTTCTTCTTCTCCTCCTCCTTCTCCTCCTTCTCCTCCTTCTTCTCTTCTTTTCCGTGGCCTTTGTGTCGCAACTGAAACGGTTGCTATGAGAACGCCAGGGTTCTGGGAACGTGGACTGATACGTGCGATAGGTTGTTGCAATTATCGATATTGATTGCGCGGAGCTTGACGGCTTCACAAAGGTCGATCAGGAGGCATTGGAAGAGCTAGCAGAGCTACTTGCGCAGGCGTGCGACTTTTGAAGAAGAAATGAGGCATTAGTCGAGAGGCGAAGCACAGAAACGATGACGAAGATGACGCGGTGGTGCGAGAGGGATGCACGGTGGGATGGATATGATGCAATCTCCCATGATGCCAAAGCGCGAAGAGTTGAACAACGTGGAGCGCGCTCGGGCTGGACGTGGCGATTTTTGAAGTTTTCCAACCCGAATGGAAGTCTTTGCTCTCCAATATTAATTAGTAACATGAATACGCGGGGTTGGTACATAAGATAAAGATCCAGAAAGTCGTTGACCAAGCTTTCTACTGCAGTGTAAGGTTTCCAACGTGCACCACGAGAAAAAGACGGAATAGCGTGAACGCACAAACACGATACGGTGAGAAGCTCCAGCAAGCAATGAGACTGGGCACAGTAACCACATTCACTATGCCATCTGGTGATTGATTACCAATGAGATGCAATGGTGGAAAGTACCAAGAGGTGGGCCTGTCTGAAGTAATTGCCCCATTTTTACTAAGTCACGTGTTCGCCCGTTGGTCGATGTCCAAGGTTCGCGCTCCAGCGCCAAACCCGCAACCAGATATCGACAGACAACAACAATGCCGTCGTCAGACTACACCGCGGCTTCCAGTGGCGCGCTCAAGCTCAAAGGCGCTGGAATCGACAAGAAGAAAAAGAAAAAGAAGCCCAAATCGACGAACGATCCTACGAAAGCCACCGACGAAGCCTCTACGGATGTTGCGAAACGACCTACTACAGACGATGACGCGCGTAAATCACACTCGGGTACACCTGCGCGCTCGATATCCCCTGAGGCTGCGGAGCGATCAATAAGAGGCGGAGGCGGCAGACAGAAGACCGAGGCCGAGAAGCGATACGATGAAATGCGACGGAAGAGGTTGGAAGAGAAGATGAAGAAGGAAGGTGTCAAGACACACAAAGAAAAGGTGGAGGAGCTCAACAAGTATCTGAGTGGTCTGAGTGAGCACCACGACATGCCAAAGATCGGACCTGGCTAAGACGCGGTGGGCGTTGGAACGGTTGCCGTGGCACACTATCACAAACAGCATGCATCGCAGCAATTGGAAATACCCCAAGGCCTCCCGCGATCAGGTTTACTATCACGAACATGCGATACATCTCACGGTCGTAAGACAGTTGGAGGGCTTGGACAAGCACGGGCGTAAGCAGGCAATTAGAGGAGCGCACAAGAGCCGGCCAGGAGGTTCTAGGGTTTCAAGCCATAAAAGACGCTGGCAACTGGAAAACAAGCAGCACGAAGAATAAACTGTATGTTACATATTCTATCAGTGTCTTCGATACTGCAGCGTGAAGAATACACTGCATATTACATGACTATGAGTGTATTCTTTAAACGGTGAGCCAGGAGCCCAGTTGAAATTTTCCGCCAGTGAGACTCTAAATCACCGGCGAACAAACAGATTCTACAACACGAAGTCTGACAGGTACCCTGGAAGCTACCCTGTGATCAAGAGCAACCGGTGCACTAGCAAGAAAGCGCTGGCCATATCGAATACCGGATACGAGCTCCTCCGCAGATGGGCCATAGACAATGTTGGTCAGGTCATCAATAAGAGCACTCCGGTCCTCGTCTGTTGATCCCCTTGCATGTTATTGGGGCAAAGCAACCGCTTGTGTCACATGGCGCAGACCTGTGTAGGCAAGTTGCCACCGGTAATCTACCAACAAAATGGCTCGAAGCGTTTCCGAACATCATCCTGTCGCAAAAAGCTTGGCGATAGGCTACCTCTGTCAGCTCTTGGCCTCATGTATTTGGCGGACTGGCCTTATCAGTGGCGGTTGAAGTCGCGCGTAGCTTGGCATTCAAAGCACGAGCGCGGCGCAGCATCGGCGCCATTTACCACGGTCGTCGTTCTAGAAGCACCCCAGATCTGGACGACATCCGATGCAGTCAGCCTTCGCAACGCCCGCGATAGTGGCATTCGTTGTGATGGGGTGGAGGGGCCAATTCACCTGCCGAGAATGCTTAGCGCGCGGCAGAGCGGGCGATAACTGCTTACACCAGAGCCAGCGAGGCTTGTCTTAAAGCCAAATCAAAGGCTTAGCGACTCGGCGTATTGACGCCCCATGATCCTGTGCCACATGCTGTCTCGCATCTATCACGCTGCCGAAAAGCGTTCGCAACAACAATGTTTGGAACGAACAAAGTCTGCAAAACATAAACGGCACGAACAGACTGAAGTGGTACCACTTTCGCTTGAAAGTGAACAAGCACCAAGACAAGCAGCCCCCACGTTGGATAGGCGAGGCTTCATGTTGTGCTGCATCACGCGACGCAACCCTACCTGAACCCCATGTTCTGGTCCTTATCAAGTACCCTTGCTGAGTTCCAGGCACTCGATTGCTGCACGGTGTATCACTGCAGCGACGCCTTGCTCGTTGCAGTTGTTCCATTCGCCGAAGAAAACACCCTCATCTAGTCCGGGAGGGCCAAGCCACTTCATGGGTATGCTACCAGATGCCAGCTGCCGCTCTGGTCTAGCTTGGGTCCTGCTGCTGTGCACCATAGCCGGGAACTCTGAATGGACATGTGCTGAGGACCGTGTGCAACCGTCACAAGCTTCTTAATATAAGAGCAAGCTTGTACTTCCATCTGTCCCGCTATTGGGACTGTCAAATCTCGTTCATCTGCTCACATCTTGCCTAATTGCGTTGCCTTTTGCTCTGTCGCCCCTGGCAGGTGCAGGTTGCACATCTCTTTCTTTGGAACACTGTACGGATCTCTCGAGGCTAGCAGCTGCCTATAATCACAGCACACGACCAGAAGACGCGTATCATGGCGGCCCCCGACTACGAGAAGCAGCAGTATGCTGTCGCCGCTGACAACCCCTCTGATCACGGCGTAGGAGAGGTCACCAACCACAAAGACAATGCACTCGCAGAGGCCGCTGGTCTCTATGGGTCTGTCCAGAAGGCTGAGGACTATGGCTACGTCCAGCGAGGTCTCAAGTCTCGTCACATCCAGTTTATTGCTTTGGGCGGTACTATTGGTACGGGTCTGTTCCTCGGTATCGGTGGAGCATTCGCCAATGCTGGACCTGTCTCTGTGCTACTTGGATATACCATCACAGGTGTTGCCATCTTCGCCATGATGCAATGTCTCGGCGAGATGGCTACATGGCTTCCCCTTCCTGGTGCTATTCCTCAGTACGCTGCGCGATATGCGGATCCTGCTCTTGGTTTTGCTGTCGGTTGGAACAACTGGTACAACAGC